TCCCTTATTAATACTTTATAAATTTCAGTGTATACGTTTGATTAAATATATTTCAATAAATTATATAAATAGAATTTAATTTCCTTTCAAATAATCTATTGTTAGTGTATACATATGCCACTTATTTTTATTTAGAGCAACTATACTAAACTCAATTGTCGCATTTTTTGGTTGTCACTGCAACATTCAGACTTTTCTGTCTATGACATCTCTATGTCAACTGTAAACAGAAAATTTTACTTTTTCATTTCCAATTTGAATGACTTTTTTTTTGTTGTTTGTTTTGTTTTGTATAATTGCTTTGGCTAGGACTTACAGTGTTATCTTGACTAGAAGTGGCAAGAGCAGGAAATCTTATTTTGTATAGGATTTTAGAGGAGAGGCTTTTGGGTTTCCCACATTGATTATTATGTTATCAGTGGGGTTTTCATTTATTTCTATTATTGTGTTGATGTAGGTTTTCTCTATACCTACTGAGAGGTTTTATTTTTTTCTTTTAATTAGAAATAGGTGCTAAATTTGTCAAGGTTTTTTCCAGAATTTATCGAAATGATTTTGCGTTTTTGTGTTGGTGGATTTTGTGTGTTGAATGTTGTTTATGTGGTGTATCTCATTGAATGATTTACTTATGTTTAACCATCTTTGCATCCCAGGAATAAGTCCTAGTTGGTCGTTGCTTACAAGTTTTTTCAATGTGTTGTTGTATTAAGTTTGCTTGTATTTTATTGGGGAATTTGTGCATCTATGTTCACCAAGATTACTGACTTGTAGTTTACTTTTCTTGTGGATGGCTTTGGTAATCAGATCGATGCTGGCTACATGAAATGAGTTTAAGTGTTCCATCTTCTAGAATTTCAAAGAGTTTAAGAAAGATTGTTATTAATTCTTTGAATGTTTGGTGGCATTCTCCTACAAAGCCATGCAGTGCTGGATTCTCTATTTCTTCTTCAGTCTTGGTAGAATAGATATGTTTCTAGGAATTTATCTATTACTTCACATTTATCTAATTTGTTGGTGTATATTTATTCATAGCGGTCCCTTAAGGGCCCTTTTTATTTCTGTGACATCTGTTGTAATGTCTACTCTTTCATTTATGGTTTTATTTATTTCAGTTTTCTCTCTCTTTAGTTACTCTAGGAAAGGATTTGTCAGTTTTATTTGTCTTTTCAAAAAAAACTCAGTTTTGATGACTTTTGAAATAGCTTGTCTATCCTTTTTAAACTTATTTTTTGCTTTATTTAGCATTATTTCCTTCCTTCTGATATTTGGGTTACTATGCTTTTTTTTTTTTTTTAGCTTATTTAAGATGTTTCTTTTGTTTTTCTTGCTCAGAAATATTTAATAGTTACTTACAAACAGAAGCCATGTCTTGGGTGGCTGTGAAACAAGGTGATGGATGTCTGTGCTATGAATCTCCAGAACCCAGGGCTTATATACCATAGGTAAGAACAAGTGAAGTAATTTGCTTATGGGCAAAGACTGTTCTAAGTGTGTGCTCTTAACTGTAGTAGAGTAAAAATTTTAGAGGCATTCCAAGAACTGAGGTTAATTAAAAGTCAACATGTTGAATTAGAATTCAAGACAGAGTTGGTTTAGTCTGTACACTCCACCTGTCTGACCCAGATATTAAAATTTCACATTCTCTCTTCTTCCAAGATGGTCCTTGAGCCTAGAGAGATGATGTTTGATATTGTATAGATATAGCAGTAGCGCACTGACAACAGAAAACAGATTGGGCTCAGTTGCTGTAATATTCCTTCTCAGAAATGCTTTCGCTCTATCTCACAGTTGTTGGTATATTTTGTTTTAACTTTTGTCATGAGATAATTTTTAATTTCTTAAATTTAACGTTGGACCCAATGATTATTCAAGAGTGTATTGTTCAGTTTCCATGTATTTGTGAATGTTCTTGTTTCCTTTCTGTTAACTGATTTATACTTCTACTCTATCATGACCTAAAAAAAATACTCGATACAGTTTCCATCATCTTAAAAAGTTTTTTGTTATCTAACAGGTGATCTATTGTGAAAAATATTCCATATGTGCTTGAAAAGAATGTATCATCTTCTGTTGTTGGGTAGAAATTTCTATAGATGTCTATTAGTTTCATTTGGTATCTCCTATTGTTCAAGTAAGCTGTTTCCCACTGCTTTCTCTGTGGGTGTTCTGTCCATTATTAAAAGTAGAGTATTAAAATCTCCTAATATTACTATGCTGCTTTAAATTCTTCTCTTCATTTTTGTATTTGCTTAATATGTTTAGGTTCTCTGGTGCTGAGTGCATATACAATAGTTACATCTTCCTGTTAAACCGACCTTATCATAATGGAATGGCCTTGCCTCTAGAGACAGTTTTTGACATAAAGTCTTTTGTCTAATGTAAATATAGCCATACTGTTTTATTTACTTTATATTTTTTCCATCCCATGTTTAACTATGTGTGTCCTTAAATAGTTAATGCCAAGTTTTTATGCTTTCAGCCAGTTAATATCTTTTGATTGGGGCACTTTAATACATTCACATTTAAAGTAACATTGATAGGGAATGATTTAATATTGAAATTTTACTGTTTTCTGTTTCTCTTGTTCCTTTACTCTTTTTCTTTCTTGATGCCTTATTTTGTGTTTCGTTTTTTGTTATTGTTGTTGCTTGATAGGCTTTAATTCATTTCTTTTTCTTTTGTATAAATTGTCAGTGTTTTCTGTGTGATTGACATGAGGCTTATACAGACTATATTATAGTTATATCAATCTAAAACTGGTAACAAATTCACTTCCACACAAAATCTTCATGTTTTTACCTTGCTCCCATTATAGATTACTGATGTCAGAATTTACATATCCAAATATTGTGTATATAATAACACAATTTTAGTTGTGGCTGTTTTTAATAGTTTTGTTTTTAAATTTTAGACTAGAAGTAAGCGATTTACCACCACTGTTACAATGGCATAGTATTTTTTATTTGCCTCTATATATTTACCATTACCAATGAGTTGTATACTTTTGCATGCTCTTATATTGTTATTTAGCATCCTTTGATTTCAACTTCAAGTACTCCTTTTACCATTTCTTATATGACAAGTCTAGTGGCAATAAACACCACAGCTTTTATCTTTATTTTGCCTCAAGTTTTGAAGAATAATTTTCTGGGCATACTATTTTGGTTGACAGGTAGGTGTGTGTGTGTGTGTGTGTGTGTGTGTGTGTGTGTGTGTGTGTGTG